ATCTTGGCTGGGTAGATGTATTAGCTCAAGAAAATAGAGAGGTTAATAAAATGTTTTCTTTCGGTTTGTGTTCACGAACCGATTACATAAAAAGTATTCAAGAAATGAATCCAATGTTACGCATTAGGTCGGTGAGTTCGTTTCATTCCGAAACAACTTCATTAACTTTCATTACAAACCGTCGTGACTGGGTTGAAATCGCAATAATTTTTTTATCAATAATAAACTATTTCAAAGTTTCTTATCAAAGAAGATAGAGAGCTTGTTCCAGTACTATTGATTCGAAAACGAATCGTTTACAAAAAATAATAAGGAGAAACTTGAGCTGTTATAAAAAAATTCACTTTATTTGGTTTTTGTCCCATTTTTTCATAACACCTATTCTAAAAGTATTGTTCTTTCCAGTTTGGACTTGACTATGGTTGTGCATAATATGATTCTGTCTGCCGCTGTCCTTTTTTGCACCGTTTGCAGCAAAGGTATTCATTATACAGTCCTATTTTGTTCAGGTATCCTCTCAATGTACAATGTCCAATGAGTATTTCTGTAGTTATTCTGAGTCGATTCCTCAACAATGTTGGAGCCGCCTTTCAGTTCTTTCATCAAGTGTAAATGTTCCCAGATATATTTATCCAGTATTCTACTCTTAGCTGTCGTTGCAAATGCTACTACGAGAGTTACTGATTTGGAAGGGTTTACTTGTAAACTTTTTTTTTCGTTGCTTCATGTAATAATATTTGCAGTCCATTGCACGTGTGCTCCAATTATATTATTACATTTTTCCCGGTCCTGGATGATTCAATAATCTGCAAAGCCATGTAGTTAATGTTCATTATAGTCCATTACGATTCAATAACTCGTCTATTATAAAGTTTCATAATAGCAGGGATATATCCCAGACGAGTAGATCTGATGAAGTCTATAGTAAAATGAAACAACGCTGTCTGGTATTGAATTATGGGTGCAAGGTTTTTGTGCTTAATTTTCATCAATATGCAAAGCCGTACATAATTTAAAAACATCCATCGTGGCAAAACACGAACCCTTGCATATATGGATCCTCGTTAATATAACAAGTATACTCTTTATATAATTGCATTCAATATTTACACAGCGGGTTTGATATGATAAAGTTTCCAATGCCTTTTTCATTATCGACATGGGAACCACTCTGATACCCAAATGATATAGTATATAAAAAAAAACAGTCAAACATCGTTCATCAGGGAATGGTCATTAATATTTAAACCCTGCATGGGTGTAGTGGTTTTCAACCATTTGGTCACTTTCAAAATTGCATTTTATCATAGAACATTCAATTTGTTCCGAATGAATTTGATTTGCTAATGTATCCGTTAAATTTAACGCATACATTCATTCGACTGGGTTTTCAATCAAACTAATAAAACGTTCATTGACTTTTGCATTACGATGGTGAAGGGTCAGTTTTCAAAAACTATTTCATTCATATTATCATTACTTGGTATGAGTAATGAGTATCCAAACACCGATATGGGAATATTCCCATAGGACTGAAGTGCTTTATGGTATGTGCATGCAAACAAATAAAAATAATTTTCTTCTGTATTCAACATAGGTAATAGTATTCCTAGTGAGTCGATGAACGCTTCAAAGGAAACATGTTTAATGTTTGTAATGCAGGTAAGTTCGTCGGTCTGCCGAAAACATTTTATGTGTTTCTGCTTTAACTTGATGGTAAACAGCGTGATCGCTCTTTCGTGAAAAAAAAGGAATACGTTTAAGCATATTCAAAAGCTATTAAATCTACACCAACCAGCCCAAAATATTAAAGAGCAAGATAGATACAGAAGTACCAATAATCAATAATGGGTATGCAATTGAAGTTAGCACTCTAAGGAATTCCAATCCAGAAAGAGCATGAGCAGGTACAAAATGTACACAGTTGAATAAAGTAAGTAAATTCGACTTTTACTGTGTTACTTCCATTCCTTGCAGAAGCTATAACATTTTGTCCTGAATTTTATCAGAATGGCGTATGGTTTATTATAACATTTTTTTAATTGGTTCAACAGCCAACAAAGAAATAGGAACAGGAAATGAAACATTATTTACACAAAGTCCTCTTCAGTAAATAGTAATAATGGAATTATTGACAATTCATAGTGGAAATGATGTTGCACTTGTTCGTCTGGCTATTATAATAGACATAACCGATGAAACAGTGTTAGATGATTGACTGCCAGAATTTTAATCACCAAACAGTGATAGTTTTTAAAGATAATAAATTTCACATAAACTTGAGTTATATCAAAATGGTCAAAAACGAAACGAATGTCTAACGTCAAGAAATTAGAGAAGAAACTAATCCTTTATAATGCAATAGTTGCTTTAAATGAATATGATGTAGGAAAGTATAAGATTCATAGAGTACGTCTCTGTACAATCGATAAAGTGAAAATATTTGTCAATTCAATAAAAAAATAGAATGACTTCCTATCAACCAAACATAAAGAGAAAAACCGCATGATTACAATTTCTGGTGAACCATTCAGAGTACACCTCGCTTTTAGATAAACGAAATTTCACGACTGGAAATATTGTGAAAGGCGCATTATACGTAACACATACAACTGAATAAAACAATTCGCGAAACTCGTAAAATGAAGGCAACATGAAGTAACACACTAGAGCTGAAATAATGACTAAATTAAAATTTACCGAGCACTTCACCACCACTTTCATCATTATTTAAAAAATAACAGCTTCGCGATTATTCACCGGAGCGTCCTCGAGCCTGATGATGGCCTCTTGACAAATGGCACTTCATTAAGCTAACCCTTCATGGAGGAAAAACTGTTCTACGAAAATGTTCTCGCCAGAGTCGTCGGTTTGAAGGTGTTATTTCTTAAATTTGTAGGTGACAAAAATATCTATCATTATAATGGCATTATGATTTTGAAATGTACCTACCTGTCTGAAAGAGCGAAAAATCATAGTGATTTATTTGAAAACTTTTAGCTGAAAATAGTTCGTTGTGTGTGAAATGCATATTAACATATTTCTATGTAATAAATAATCGTGGATAACAATTTAATAATGAACTTTCCTGTTTGTCTTGTTTATTTTTAACAGTACTGCCGGAAAGACGAATTGTCTGCTGAATCTTATCACATGAAATTATCAATATTGTTAGAAAGAACTATATGAAATTCCTGAAATTCAAGTTTTTTCCAAACTACCAGAGATTACGAAATAAAACTAAAAATATTACATATTTATTTTCAATGAAACAACTACGTACAATTCGGCCTTCTTCCCATCTTCTACGTACTTTCCTAAAGAGTTTTCGTTCTACCTTTCTTTAAAGTTTCCCACATGTTTTTTATGATGATGGAAAACTATAAACTCAGTATTTTGGAAATCAAAGTGATGGATTTTTATTTTATTTTTGTTGTGTGTAGCCATTATTTTTGTGTCTAGCCAAATCGGGTTTTCAATAGTTTTTTGTTTGTTCCATTCAAGTGGAAATTTCCACGAATTATTTTATGAACAACACCAGGTTGGTCGAGTGTAATATTCATCATTCGTAACTTTGAAAAGCATTGGTTAATGATTTTGATTTCGCGTTTTCCTAAAACTTTTCGGGGACTTTTTGTGGCACTTCGAATGTTTGGTATAAAAGTAAAATTAGGGTTTTCCATATTATATTTTTCATCATTGTTATTGTGCAGCTGGTATGAACATTTTTTAAGGATTGGTTCACAGAAATGTGATAGATACTTAGTTATTCGCTTTTCATTAAATTTGTTGTTTACCATATTTTTATGGTGCGAAATTCGAATTATTCGATCAGTTGATAAACAAAGCCTAGTCCTCTCATTCAGCCGCGATAAAAATTTTTGCATATTACTCTTTGAACCTCTTTATATACTTTCTAGTTTTTCATTTTATTTTCATCGTCTCCAGCGTAACTCGATTTATTTGATTTCATTTCTACATTGACTAGGATACTTGTGTTATTACTACAATTTTGAATATTATTTATTCTAAGTAAAATTTAACTCTTTGTCCTTTCTGTGTTTGTAATTTCATATTTCTGCACATGAAAATGACAAACATGCTGAAACTTACGTATGATTAAAAATAAATATATAATATTTATAATTTTATTTCGATATATACCCAATCTGACGAGAGAATCTACCAAACTTAATAGGTTATTATAGGCAAAACTAGATAGAATCAGTCGATCTCAACTACTAAAAACTGAAATCCCAATGAGGAATTTCGAAACAGAAATCCGATATGATCATAAGGAATTGATTCTGGGATTGATTAATAACACTCGGAGCTGTGTGATTCCTAACGGGTTGGATAATACGCAGTGAAAAATCTATCATCCGGCCGTAGGGCTCGAACCACTGTTCCACATAGTGATCGATTGAATGAGTAGAATAAACCACTCAAGACAACCCAACCGGTTACCACTCCTCTTCCCCCCCAATAAACTTTTTCAGAAATGAAATTGTACGTCATTACCAATTTTTTCCTCTCGTGTTTTATTAATTGACAAATAATTTCATGTCTTAATAGATTTCCAATGAATTGTCAATAGGACGTTTGATGGTCTGGACCAGTGAAATGTTGACTAGATGAGATTACTAATGTGGGGGGTGGCAATATTCAAAAGCTGAAGTACCAAACCAAGGATATAACCAAATTTACCATCAAACTTAATACATTTTGATCCAGATCTTTCAGATTATAACAACTATTTCTGTAAAAGCTCTATACATAGTGAACTTAAACAAAATTTAATTAACTAGTCAGACCAATACTTTGAACGCGACACTTTTCAGTGTCGCGTCCGGTGATGTCACAAAAGAAAGGTGATCAAATCTCATGATTTTTTAGCGGAAAGCGTTGTCGAATTCAATGGAACAACCTTGTCGAGTTCATGTTAACAGTGAATTACTCGTTGTTCGAGATTTGAATTATATTGTTATATAAGCGAAGGAACCGAAGTTCGTTACCTGTTGTAGAAGATATGACGGTTTTTACGGCCGGTGTTGTTTTACGTCGGTTCTCCCTTTTTATTACAAGAGATCCTTTTTGCGCTCTCCCAACCTTAATATCATCAAGTAGAGCTCCTCAAATTGCTCCGCAAACACATTCGGCCAAGGAATGACGGACAAATTTCCCAGATATGAGCTATGGAGTAATTGAAATATAAAACTTACGGTATTTTGATGTGCTCTCGAGACGACTCTCCGGCTTACCTGCAAATAAAAAATATGTCGTTAATAAAAGTCCGACGTTAAATGCGTTTTATGGAGTATTAATAATAAAAAAGGGCGACGTTACAGAGGTTTTCGAAGTTATAATGAAGGCGATTTGAAGTTTTGTAGAGGTTATACGATACCACCATGTAATTTTTGCCTTTACCGTTCGAGATACAGATACCGTCGAGATATAGAACATCAAATACTATCCATGACACTAATCATAGAATTTTCAGAATGAATTATATTTAGGATACGTTTCTCTACACGGTAGTTTCATCAATTGGACTGGTACATCAAACTATGATGCAATGTCTTTTATGTAACAGTAGCTAACTACAAAACTTGATTAGGAAAATGATCAATTCTGGTAAAACAGAATAATGGTGAATGAATAACTTCTTGTTGGTCGTTTAAAATAAATTTCGAATATTTGCAGAGATTCCAACAGATTTATCTTTCTCCCTTTATTTTCTATATGTAGTATGTCGTAGTCCATGTTAAAACCGTGTTTATTTTCTTAAAGGTGGCAAGCATAGGCGGAATTCGATTTTTTATTTCAAGATATTTTATATAAGATAATTCTCGGTTTGAAGTTTCTGATGATTTACTAGTATATGTGAGTTTTGGTAGGTTTTAGTATTATTTTTAACTTATTTGAAAAATGTTTGTCAAAGATGTTGAAGTTGTTGTTTACTGCAAATTGTTTTATCAAATTCAATTCTATAAGTTATAGTTCACCAAAATGTCTCAACGAAAATTTCTGCTGTTGTAAATATCAAAACTGAAGGAACGGATTGAACAAATGCTTTGTTTCACAAATCTGAGTCATCCATTTGGTGAAAGATAGAATTGATATCTCTGGTACAGAATAAGTTCAACAAAACACTTTCCTCATACATCTGAACAGTAACATTTTTTTCAACATGCTTGAATCAATTCTTATCCAAGGACTAATTGTACCTTCAAAATTCAAAGAAGAAATATCTGAGCAAATTTACCGATTATTACAACAGATGTGGGTGCAAATAAAAACACTTAATGGATAGAAGACCATTATATAAGAAAAGGACAAAAATATGTGGAATATATAGACATAGACCAATCATGCTTCTAAATTCATTTTTAAAGAATAACCTCAAGCCCTACATGAAAATCCTTAAGGCCCCCAAAGAGTGGTGCCTGTACGAAAGTATCGATTCATGTTGTAGAATAAATTCATAAGGAGAAACGTTCTCAGAAAGTTTGTTCTAATTGTACGCAGTTCACCAAATGAAAGAGTTCTTTGACAGTGAAGTTTGAGGTGTACTTCAAAACGATGAGCAGCCACAGTCCGTTACGTATTTCTGATATGTACCGCTCTTGGTGGAATCAAATGTGCCACGTCACTTGAAACACCTCCTATGAAAGTATCTATAAAAGAGAGACAAGTCTCCAACCTCTCTTCGTTCCAGACTGTCAACGTTGCAAGTGATGTTCGAGTCTTGTGTCGTGGCTCTTTTCTGGATGGAGTCTAGCAGCTTTAGGATATGCTTAGGGGCGGAGCTATATACATGAGAATGGAGACCTTACAAGAAACAAAATTGAAAACTCAGTCAATGAAAAGATGAGTGCCATATAAATACTGGAACAACTCCTACACAAATTGAGTTCCAGGGCGGTGATGATGATGATCTTTTGAAGTATTCTGAACAACAGTAGACTTTTCAGATCTAAGAAATCGAAATCTTTCCAAAACCAGTTTGAATATCTCATCTATTCTGACCAACATATTCAACAATATACATTTCCATTTTCAATCATCTGTCTTTCGAGTTGTATAACGCCCGTTGGCTGAGAGGCTATTTTCATGTCCAGTTTTTCGAAATTTCCCACCGTACCGGTGTTTTACCTTGGTTCGTATGGAATGATAATAAACATTTTCAAATTAACTTATCGGAAGGGCGATTAGGTTGGTACAAATTTCATTATCATTTTATATTTTTTATCCTCTATAAAATTATCGTAACATACTTTTGTACTCTGACATTTTCAGACAACGTGATGCTTCTTAATTCAACTAGCGAACCGTCCGGCTCCGCACGGGTGTAATGCTGATACTGAACATAAATTCACCCACCGGAAATTTAAGCGCATGTAGAAACAGTGATGAAAAGATAATTTTGTTTTATGGACGCGCCTTTTTCCCCCGCGGCTGGAGCCCTAGTTGGAATATTTAAAAATCCTTTCTTATTGCATATCTACAACGTAAAGCGAACCAACATATAAAATTTCAGCCTCCAAAGATATGACGGTACGGAGAAACAGTAACGAAAAGATAACTTTATTTTATGAACGTGCCTTTTCCCTCGCGGCTGGCTCCCTTGTTGGAATATTTTAAAAATCCTTTCCTGTTACACATTTAAAACATAAAACGAAACTTCATACAAAATTTCAGCCTCCGAAAATATAGCGATATGGAGAAAGGTAGTTTTCATATGTAAACGCGCCCATTTTATCCCTAAGGAGATTCTCATTTGCAATATTTAAAAATCCTTTCTTATTGCACATCTAACAACATAAAGCGAACCAACATACAAAATTTCAGCCTCTAAAAATATAGCGGTAAGGAGAAACAGTAATGAAACGGTAACTTTATTTTATAAACGTGCCTTTTCCCCCGTGGCTGGCCCCCTAGTTGGAATATATTAAAACTTCTTTTTTATTGCACATCTAAAACATAAAACGAAACTTCATAAAAAATTTCAACCTCCGAAAATAAAGTGGTACGAAGAAATAGTAATGGAAAGGTAGTTTTTATATGTAAACGCGTCCCTTTTATCCCCAGGGGGATTCCCAGTTGCAATATTTAAAAATCCTTCCTTATTGCACATCTACAACATAAAATAAACCTACATACAAAATTTAAGACTCCAAAATTATAGCAGTATGGAGAAATAGCGACGAAAAAGTAACTTTTATACGCTTCTAAAACCTAAGAAGCGCCTATATTTGACTTGTTCGATTGATGACCTATTTATTTTGTAGAAATTCATACTGAATATAAAATAAAGAAAGTAACTTCTGTCTAATTTCTATTAAGTTTATTATTTGTTACGACCGGTCTTAAAAAATAAACTTAGTAGAAATTAGACAAAAGTTATTATCTTTATTCTCTATATTCAAGCACCTATACCAAATTTTAGCTTCTTAGGACTTACCAGTACGGAGATGAATGAGTGAGTGTCAAACGAGTGACTTTCTCATTTATAAGTATAGATTGGTAACAAAACACAATACATATGCACTAATGTTGGAAACTAAACGTTTATAATGACTTTTCATTATTTTGAGATATCGCCCACAAGGTATCAAGAAAACATGTATTGTAGCAATCCAGGTGTTGAAGCATTAAAACATACGACAAATAATAAATGTCAAACAAAGGACGTTAACATAATAGGTATATTTTCGAAATGAAAGCAATACATTGTCATCGTGCTCTTGATCTACGCGTAACCATCACCTCTCCATGTGTGACGATTACAAAATGGTTCGACAGAACGCAGTTGTTAGTCAACCCCAAAACCATTTGTCACCAGAGAGCCTTTATTATCGTTTAAATGGTATAAAAGCGGAGAAATAGACTTGAACTCCAATACAATATGCACCAGTTCGAGTGCTGTATCTAAGCGAGTAAAAGTGAAACCTCTCCACCATTTAAAACTCGTACGTTTTCTTAGGGTGAATGTTGAAATTTATAATACATTCTATTCCTTTGAGAGGAACTAAAATAAATACAGTAACTCGACTTATATTGAGATGGGAATTTCGGGATTAAAATTTAAATGTTTTCTTTCGGAAGTTTGATTGAAGGCATTTCAAGAGATCTACTGAAACGCGACAGGAAGTTGCTTTTCGTATATTTTTTGTGAATCTTTGATATTATTTTCATAAGCAAAGCTGACTTTGAATAGACAATATTATTGTGATATTGAATAATAAAACGCATCTATCAATCAATTCAAATATTTTTGTCATAGAAGTACTAACACTAATAATTGGCGAATGTTAACATACGGTTCACAAAATTCGTAATTTTTTTCCATGTTTATACCTGCTGCTAATTTCCTGGTGATGTCAACTTTGTCGAATAAACGTGCACCGAGAAGTAATTTGTATTACATTGAAAGGAGTATTTTTTGAAAGAGCTTGATTATTGGGATGCAATTTTTTTTGGCTTTTAACTTCTTCATATTCATACAAAAAATTTGGGAAACATCCTTTTTTACGAAGTTTTTTTTGTATAAAGATGGATAATTAAGAAAATTATATTTCGACAGGTACATTACACAATAATGTTTTGCCAATCAAATAGAGATTAATCGAGTTCAATAGTCAATGCCAAATCTTTACTAAAAATGCAATTATATTTTTGTTGACAATACACCACGATGCATATGAATTTTATTCGAGGAATACTTCAAATAATCCAGTATTTGTGTAGTTTGCCTGAATGAATTCCAGAATTTTTCAATATGCCACCAGAATATCGAACCAATAATCAATTTAAAGTACGAATTTCAGATTTTTCCGAACGATATTTTTACATAACGAATTGAAACTGGCATGAATGAAAGCAACACATAGGAATTGGTATGAGAGAAGTGGTCAAACAGAACTTTGAAGGGATAGAACTCAGCCATCGAAAGGTCTCTATTTCACGTTATCAACCATGGAACATATAGAAGTTGATTCAGCCGAACGAGGTTCTTCATAAACTAATTATTGGTTATAATTTGTACTCAACAATATTCAGTGATACAGACATTTATATATTTTTTGAAATAAAAATAATGAACACAGACGGTGTTCCTTTTTATTTTTCTATGAACTTACTAGTTTAACTGTTGAGCGTTTGTTTGCGTTGCGCTTGGTGGCCGTCTGACTTGTCTCTATTTCTCCCAAATCAGTCTGACGGACTCATTTTGCTTTTTTCCGAGTCTTTTCATGACACC